AGACACCTGAGGCATTGCCAAAGAGGAGGGTCCTGGAGAGGGAGGCCTGGCCATCTCCTCTCCTTCATGTTCGGAGCCTTCTTCCTCCGATAAGAGGGGCTCACAAGACGGAGCCACAACATATTGCTAAGCAGTGCAGTCACATGACACGACCTCTCAGCCTTCAAACTGGAAAAAAAAACTGTCCTATAGTCTTCTTGTGAGAAGCAGCTGTCCGGAGCACATGTGGGCAATCTCCCATCTTCTCCTTATCCAGAGAGATTCTAAGGAACTGGTCTACTTACCAGTTCCTTGGTCTTTGCACAATCGTTGGTTCCACTATCACCAAACCCTCTTCAATATGCCATACCTCCCAAAGAAGTTCCCATGATTGTTGAATAATCAAGGTAATACTCCCTGCCCTATATATTGACTTGTGTAGGAGGTCAGAAAAGGGGATCACGTGACCCCAGGATGTTTTTATGCAGCTGTCATAAAAACTTGTCAGTTGCTAAGAGTCTGGATTTTAATCACGTGACCATGGGGATGCTGCAACAGTTGTAAGTGTGCCCAAAGATGCTTTTTCACGAGGCAACTGGACTTGTTTTTCTTTGAAGACATTTCGCTTCTCATCCAAGAAGTTTCTTCAGCTCTTCGGCTTCTTCAATGAGAAGTGAAACGTCTTCAAAGAAAAACCAAGAAAGTCCAGTTGCCTTGTGAAAAAGCATCTTCGGGATAACTATGACCTGGATGATTGAGAATCTCCATAGGCAGTTGTTAAGTGTGAAAAACAGTCATAAGTCACTTTTTTCAGTGCCCTTATAACTTCAAACGGTCACTAAAAGAACTGTTGTAAGTTGAGAACTACCTGCATTTCCCCGTATTCCAACCAGCTTTTTCCCTAAATCCTCTCATCCATTCGTGTCTTATGGTCACAACAATTTTACATCCCAGATGGAACCACTCACCAATACCAGGGATGATGCGAAAAAGGTCGTTCACTTTCTTGTCCACAGCAGTTGTGATGATCCTGACTTGTGGAAAGGCATAGGCGACGGAGTGGACGCCCATCTCGGCCATCAACAAGGAGAGAAGAAAAATCTTATCCTCTGGAACGTCGTGATCCTAACGGAAACAAAGGGATTTCAGTCTCTCTTTCAACCCTAACTTTACTTTCTGGTTTACTCATAGATCACAATTGAGCCCAAAATTTCTGTTGCTAAGCAAGGCACTTAAGTCAGTTTGCCCCATTTTACGACCTTTTTTTGCCACCGTTAAGCAAATCACTGCAGTTGTTAGTGAATCACGCGGTCATTAAGTGAATCTGGATTCCCCCCTTTGTTGGAAGCCACCTGGAAAGGTCACAAAATGGTGATCACATTTACCCCGAGATGCTGCAACCGTCGTAAATATATGCCAGTTATCAAGTGTCCAAATTTTGATCCTGTGACCATGGGTATGGTGCGACGGTCGTTAAGTGTGGAAAAATGGTCATAGGTCACTTTTTTCAGTGCCATTGTAACTTTCAATGGTCCCTAAATGAATGGTGGTAAATTGAGGACTACATATAGATAATATAAATTTTCTAAATAAATAATAAAACAAAACAAAACAAAACAAAATAAAATAAGTCAAATCAATAAAAATAAATAAAATAATAAAATAAATAAATAAATAAAATAATAAAATAAAATAAATAAATAAAATAAAATAAAATAAATCAATAAAATAAAATAAATAAATCAAATCAATAAAATAAAATAAATCAAATCAAATCAAATCAATAAAATGAAATAAATCAATAAAATAATAAAATAAAATAAAAATAATAAAATAAAATAATAAAATAAATAAAATAAAATAATAAAATAAAACAAAATAAAACAAAACAAAATAAAATAAGTCAAATCAATAAAAATAAATAAAATAAAAATAAAATAAATAAATAAATAAAATAAAATAATAAAATAAAATAAATCAAATCAATAAAATAAAATAAATTAAATCGAATCAATAAAATAAAATAAAATAAATAAAATCAATAAAATAATAAAATAAAATAAAATAAATAAAATAAAATAAAATAAAATAAAATAAAATAATAAAATAAAATAAAATAAAATAAAATAATAAAATAAAATAAAATAAAATAAAATAATAAAATAAAATAAAATAAAATAAAATAAAATAATAAAATAAAATAAAATAAAATAAAATAAAATAAAATAAAATAAAAATAAATATAAACTTCAGTGGCACACGTTCAAATGATTTAGAATGACATCCCTCCATTCACATATTATTTGGCAGGTCATTCTGAAAATCCTTTAAAAAGCCAGAATTATTATTATGCCCATCCTGCAGATGAGAGAACTGAGGCTCAGCACCCGAAGTTCAGTCACCGGAGCAAGTGCCGGGGATAAGGATGGGCAAAAACATTGCAACTTTGAATCCAAGTCATAAGTAGCCGCCAGATAGGTCTGTTGCAACTCCTGACAATTGCTAACCAGTCCCGTTGTAAGTCGGGGACTACCCGGACCCTCATTCCCCTTACCAGCAACACCCTCACGGCCATCATGGCTGCTGCCCCCGTGGAGACGGTGCAGTCCATCAAAATCACGTGATCTTCACTGATGTCCTTTGGGAGTCTCAGGTAGTGTAGCTGGAAGGGAAGAGACACAGGCGTCAGGGGGGCAAGCAAGGAGCGCCTGAGAGATGTTACTTATGTATTTATTTATGCACAGGTAGTCCTCGACTTACAACAGTCCGTTTAGTGGCCTTCGAAATTACAACGGCACTGAAAAAAGTGACTTACGGCCGTTTTTCACCCTTAATGACCGTTGAAGCATCCCCATTGTCCCGTGATCAAAAAGTCAGACGCTTGGCAACTGACTCACATTTATGACGGTTGCAGCGTCCTCCAGGGTCACGTGATCCCCTTTTGCGACCTTCTGGCAAGCAAAGTCAACGGGGGAAGCCCGATTCACTTCACAACCGTGTTACTAATTGAACAACTGCAGCGGTTCACTTAACAAACGTGGCGAGAAAAGTCGTAAAATGGGGCAAAACTCACTTAATAAATGTCTCACTGAGCAATAAGAAATTTTGGGCTCAACTGCGGTCGTAAGTCGAGGACTGCCTGTGTATTTTATTCCTTCAAGGATTTCTATCATGCTTTTTGTGGTAGAATTCCTGCCAAAGCAGCTTTCAAAGCGCCATCAAGATCTGTGTACAACAATGCAACAATATTACTTGAAAACAAAGGACAAACAGCTCAGTTGTTGTTGTTGTTTTGCTTTCTATTACACAACTATGTAACATCAGCAGTGGGGTTTGCTCCCTGTTTATAAACAGTAGCTTGCTCTGCCAGAGGACGATTTTCTCCTTGGGAATTCCTTGATTAAGATATAGTTTTCTGCTCGGTTGTTTGTCTGGTGTCAATCCCTGCTTATCTGGGTGTAGGCTGATGGAGAGGATGTGTTCTGGTCTTTGCATTTCATATACACATATGTGTATGCACACACACACACACACACACACATATGTACCCTAACCTACATCCAGATAAGCAGGGGTTAACACCAGACAAACAACCAAGCAAAAAACAATATGTATAATTGTTATTAAAACTTTTTAAAAATAATGCAGCCGTGTGCTGCAGCTGCCAAAAAGGTCAACACAGTGCTAGGCTGCATTAACAGAGGGATAGAATCAAGATCACGTAAAGTGCTAATACCACTTTACAAGGCCTTGGTAAGGCCACATTTGGAATACTGCATCCAGTTTTGGTCACCACGATGTAAAAAAGATGTTGAGACTCTAGAAAGAGTGCAGAGAAGAGCAACAAAGAAGATTAGGGGACTGGAGGCTAAAGCATATAAGGAACGGTTGCTGGAATTGGGTATGTCTAGTTTAACGAAGAGAAGGACGAGGGGGGACATGATAGCCGTGTTCCAGTATCTCAGGGGCTGCCCCAAAGAAGAGGGAGTCAAGCTATTCTCCAAAGCGCCTGAAGGCAGGACAAGAAGCAACGGGTGGAAACTAATCAAGAAGAGAAGCAACCTAGAACTAAGGAGAAATTTTCTGACAGTTAGAACAATTAACCAGTGGAACAACCTGCCTCCAGAAGCTGTGAATGCTCCAACACTGGAAGTTTTTAAGAAGAGACTGGACAGCCATTTGTCCGAAATGGTATAGGGCTTCCTGCCTGAGCAGGGGATTGGACTAGATGACCTCCAAGGTCCCTTCCAACTTTACTATTATTATTATTATTATTATTATTATTATTATTATTATTATTATTATTATTATTATTATTATTATTATTATTATTATTATTATTATTATTATTATTATTATATGGAAAAAAAGTTAACTGATTTAAAAATAGCTCAGGTAGCATGAAATTGGGGGGGAAACAGAGCAAACTAGAACCCACTAATTTCTCTCTGTCAGACAAACCAACATTAAACAGATCCAGCGTGGCTGACTGGGGAATTCTGGGAGTTGAAGTCCACACCCCTTAAAGTTGCTGAGGCTCAGGGACAGGGTTTCTGGAGGAAAGGTGGGCGCTAACAAATAAGCCGATCGCGAACAACGTTGCTAAGAGGTCAGGGATCATTCATGGGGCTTTGGCCCTTTTACCTCAGGCTCTCCCGTGTATCGGTTTGTCTGAATCAGGATGGTGCCGATCCGGACATCCTTGCAAACGGCCCTGAGGGCGGGCTCCATGGTCTCTCCAGCCCTCAAAATGGACACGCCCGTGATCTGGAAGAGAGAAGGTGCAATTCTGCCGGCATTTCATGCAACCGTGGTTTCCGCCTTCTCTGGGTTAGGTAGAAGCTCAGATGTTGATTTCTCTCTTGTCACCTCTAGGCAGACAATAGTCTGCTCTAGGAAACCAGGAAGGGTCACTTTTATAAACAGAACAGAACATCTGTACCTCCTTGCTTTCTTCTCCTTCTTTCCTTCTTTCCTCCTTCCCTCCCTCCCTCTTCTGATCTTTCCTTCTCCTTCCTTCCTTCCTTTCTCCCTCCCTTCCTTCTCTCCTTTTTCTCCCTCCCTCCCCTTTCCTTCCTTCCTTCCTTCCTCCCTCCCTCCCCTCTCTCATCCTCTTTCCTTCCTTCCTTCTCCCTCTTCATCTTCCTTCTTTCCTTCTCCTTCCTTTCTCCCTCCCTCCCTCCCTTCCCTTTCTTTTGTCCCTCCCTCCCTTTCCTTCCTTCCTTCCCTCCCTCTTCTCATCTTCCTTCTTTCCTTCTCCCTCCTTCCTTTCTTCCTTCCTCCCTCCCCTTCCTTTCCTCCCTCTTCTCATCTTCCTTCTTTCCTTCTCCTTCTTTCCTTTCTCCCTCCCTTCCCTCTCTCCTTTCTTTTCTCCCTCCCCTCCCCTCCCCTTCCTTTCCTTCCTTCCTTCCTCCCTCCACTCTCATCCTCTTTCCTTCCTTCCTTCTCCCTCTTCGTCTTCCTTCTTTCCTTCTCCTTCCTTTCTCCCTCCCTCCCTTCCCTCTTTCTTTTCTTCCTCCCTCCCTTTCCTTCCTTCCTTCCCTTCCTCTTCTCATCTTCCTTCTTTCCTTCTCCCTCCTTCCTTTCTTCCTTCCTCCCTCCCCTTCCTTCCCTTCCTCTTCTCATCTTCCTTCTTTCCTTCTCCTTCTTTCCTTTCTCCCTCCCTTCCCTCTCTTTCTTTTCTCCCTCCCTCCCTTTCCTTCCTTTCTCCTCCCTTCCTCCCTCCCTCCCTCCGTTTTCTCATCTTCTTTCATTCTCCTTCCTACCTTTCTCCCTCCCTCCCTTCCCTCTTTTTCTCCCTACCTCCCTTCCTTTCCTTCCTTCCTTTACTCCCTCTTTTCATCTTCCTTCTTTCCTTCTCCGTTCCTTTCTTCCTTCCTCCCTCCCTCTTTCTTTTCTCCCTCCCTCCCTCCCTTTTCTTCCTCCTTCATCTTTCTTCTTTCCTTCTCCTTTCTTCCTTTCTCCATCCCTTCCCTCTTGTTTCTTTTCTCCCCTCCCTCCCTCTTCTCATCTTTCTTCTTTCCTTCCCCTTCCCCCCTCCCTCCCTTCTCTTTCTTTTCTTCCTCCCTCCCTCCCTTCGCTCGCTCTTCCATCCATCTCACAATACAGTGGACTCTGGGCAACATCGAAAGACCAAAATTAAAACATACCAAACTAAATTAGCCTAGATCTAGATTCTAACCCAAGTGAATTCAGAGGTTCTACACTGTTAGAAAAATACTTAAACTGTTTTCAAATCTCTTTCTCTCTCTCTCTCTCTCCCTCTCTTTCTCTCTCTCTCTCTCTTTTTAGTCACAGACAGCCAAGAAGAAGAGGATCTGTTATCAGATCCCTGGATGGGGTGGAGGGGCATTTTCATTACATTTCCTCCCCTTTTTTGGTGGCTCTATATCTTTGTGCTTCCATTTTCTGCTCTGAATTCTTGCTGACGCTGCTCTAAGAATTTTCGAAACTGCCCAAGGCACTCGTGATTAAAACAGCCTTACACAAAATAAGATGTTTAACCTAAATGCAACAAGGCCAACCATCCACAAAAATGCGGGCTGACGAACGGCCACACAATTTTCCTTTCCAAGATCTCTTGCTGGTTCGACTTACTTGCTTCCCGCTATATGTACAACCTTCGTAGTCCTGGTCTTGTGGGGTTTGAACTGTGCAGCTCTGAAAACAAAAAGAGAATGGCATAAATAAATTAAATAATAAATACAGGTGGTTCTCGTGACAAGTTATGACAGGTGTGCCAAAAAAGATCCTTGACAAGCAGGAGTCAAAGTTCCAACAGCCACACACACACACCCCTTGCCACCTGTGGGCATTTTGTGCCCTTGGCAACAGCCCCATTTTTTTGCAGCTATTTCCAGCGTCTCATGGGAATGTGACCATGATTTGAGAGGGTGGGTTTTTTTTTGCCAGATACTAGAGGAGAATAATAATAATAATAATAATAATAATAATAATAATAATAATAATAATAATAATAATAATAATAATAATAATAATAATAATAATAATAATAAAAAAAGTTGGAAGGGACCTTGGAGGTCATCTAGTCCAACCCCGTGCTCAGGCAGGAAACCCTATACCATTTCAGACAAATGGCTGTCCAGTCTCTTCTTAAAGACTTCCAGTGTTGGAGCATTCACCACTTCTGGAGGCAGGTTGTTCCACTGGTTAATTGTTCTCCTTAGTTCTAGGTTGCTTCTCTCCTTGGTTAGTTTCCATCCGTTGCTTCTTGTCCTGCCTTCAGGCACTTTGGAGAATAGCTTGACTCCCTCTTCTTTGGGGTAGCCCCTGAGATATTGGAAGACTGCTATCATGTCCCCCCTCATCCTTCTCTTCATTAAACTAGACATATCCAATTCCAGCAACCGTTCCTTTACAGTACTTCGTTTCCGGGGGGGGGGGGAAATCCATCATTGTGGACAATGGGTCCACGTAACCACCATTGTATGCAAACTCTGATTTGGATAAAACCGTATGAAGAGGTTGCATCAGTGATCCTGTTTTAGGCTGACTATTGCAGCAAAACCAACGCATTATGCACTTCTATGGACAGACAAAAGAATACAGAATTGTATTCCAACAGAGTTGGAAGGGACATTGGAGGTCTTCTAGTCCAACCCCCTACTTGAGCAGCAGATCCTATACCTTTCTGGACAAATGGCTGTCCAATCTCTTCTTAAAAAGCTACAGTGATGGAGCACCCACAACGTCTCTGGTGGCAAGCTGTTCCACTGGTCAAATGTCTTAACTGTCAGGAAATTTGTCCTTAGTTCTAGGTTGGTTTTCTTCTTGGATTAGTTTTCATCCATTACACCTTGTCCTGCCTTCAGGTGCTTTGGAGAATAACTTCTCTGTGGTAGCCCCTTAAATATTGGAAGACTGCTAACATGTCACGCCAGTTCTTCTCTTTGTTAGACTCAATACATCAGTTCCCACAACTTCCCATTTTGTGGTTTAGCCTCCAGTTTCCTAATCATCATTGTTATACCTCTCTTTACTCTTTCTAGAATCTCAGCATCATTTTTGTTTCGTGGCGACCAAAACTGGATGCAGTATTCCAAGTGTGGCCTTACTAAGGCCTTGTAAAGTGATATCAACATTTCACGTGATCTTGATTCTATCCCTCTGTTAATGCAGCCTAGCAATGTGTTGGCCTTTTTGGCAGCTGCAGCACACTGCTGGCTCCTATTTAAGTGATCGTCCACTAGGACTCCAAGATCCTTCTCTCAGTTGCTACTATTGAGCAAGGTACCACCTATTCCAGGAGTAGGCAACCTTGGCTCTTTTTTTAAAACAATATTTTATTAAGTTTTATAAAGGTAAGGGAAGAGGAGGATCGATATAGGTAGTGGGATTCAGGGTGGGGTTCAGGGAAGGGGTTGGGATGGGGGTAGGTACAACAATGGGGTTTCCCCCAATGACATTCCAAGCTTTAGCAAACAATCGTCCGGATACAGGTATTCAGTGGGAATAGCTAATATATAATAAGTAGCTGTAGTCAACAAAAATAGCAATAATTATAGAGCATGTCAATTAATCAATAAACAATGATCATCTTAATAAATTTCAGAATCATTTCTCGCTAACTCATTTTGCTAACCATGGATAAAAGTTTTCCCATGTTTTAAAATAAACTGAGTCTTCTTTCTCTTTAATCTCTAGGGTTAGTCTGTCCATTTCTGCACATTCTAGAATTTTCCTAATTATGATCTCATCAGGTGGTACATTTTCATTTTTCCAATATTGGGCAAATGCTATTCTCGCAGCTGTCAATATATGTAATATGAAATACTCATTCTCTTGCAACCTTGGCTATTTTATGACTCGTGGACTTCAACTCCCAGAATTCCTGAGCCAGCCATGCTGAGGGGAAAGGGAGAGGTTTCCAAGCTGAGCCAGGCTGGCTCAGGAATTCTGGGAGTTGAAGTCCACGAGTCATGAGGGGGCCATAGTTCCCTCATGCTGGCTCAGGAATTCTGGGAGTTGAAGTCCACGAGTCATGAGGGGGCCATAGTTCCCTCATGCTGGCTCAGGAATTCTGGGAGTTGAAGTCCACAAGTCATAAAAGAGCCCAGGCTGCCTACCCCTGGCTTATTTTACACTTACCTATTTGATTATTTTTTTTCCTGCCTAAGGGTAAAACTTTAACTTTTCTCATTACTGAATTGCATTTTGTTGGATAAGGCCCAGTGTCCATTGAAGTTCAGGTCCCCATCATTAAACCAACTTACAAACCAACTTACAAATTCCTTCTGTCTCTGCCACTTACCTGGAAGGGCAGAAAAGATAACGCGTGCTCAATCAGAAGACGCATTAGCCGTTTGGAGTAGAAAATGAACTCATCCCGGCTTGTCTCCTTATTCCTGAAAAGAGAAAAGCAGGTGGGATCAAATGTGATCTTGGAGGGTGCTCATGGTATGTGAGAATGACCTTGGGGGACAGGGAGAAGACGTGCTACCAGTGAAACGGATAGATAAGAGGAAGCTTAGCCCACAGCTGCATAATGGATATAACAAGAAACTCAGGAGGGATAAAGTCAGAGTTGACTGACTTTTCTAGCTTTCCAGCCCAGCGGGGTGGAAAGAGCGGATGGTTCCCCGTGAGCGGCAGACAAGCGCGCATGTGCATGTGGCTCCATTCATACAAGCAGCAGGCATGCACGCCTGCCTCTCGCGCAAACTGACTGTGCGCGCCTGCGCCTGCCTGCTGCTCTTGCAAGTGGGAATATGTGCACATGTGCTAGCCCGCTACCTCCGCATCCCAGTTCCGAACGGCTCAAGGACCGGTAGTGGGCCACAGCCCGGGGATTGTGGACCCCTGCTCCAAGTTGCTGAGCTTCAAAGGGTGGATGGAACAGATGGAAACTAGCCAATGAGAGAAGCAACCTAAAACTAAGAAGAAACTTCCTGACAGTGAGAACAATTAACCAGTGGAACAACCTGCCTCCAGAAGCGGTGAATGCTCCAACACTGGAAGTTTTTAAGAAGAGACTGGACAGCCATTTGTCTGGGAATGGTATAGTGTTTCCTGCCTGAGCAGGGGGTTGGACTAGATGACCTCCAAGGTCTCTTCCAACTTTATTATTATTATTATTATTATTATTATTATTATTATTATTATTATTATTATTATTATTATTATTATTATTATTTATTATTATTATTATTACTATTATGGGGGTGGCGACAGAATTGTACTTTGAAACTGGCAAGATTCGATTAACGCAGCTTGATAATAAAGTAGAATTCCATGACAGGCAGCCCTCGACTTACAAGCATTCGTTTAGTGACCGTTGGAAGTGACCACGGTACTGAAAAAAAAAGTGATTTATGACCGGTTTTCACACTTACACTTGTTAAGGGAATCTGGCTTCCCCCGTTGACTTCGCTTGTCAGAAGGTTGCAAAAGGGGATCACGTGATTCCCCCCCCAGGACGTGGCAACCGTCATAAATGTGAGTCGGTTGCCGAGCATCCAAATTTTCATCGCATGACCAGGGGGAATGTTGCGACGGTGTGAAAACGGACATAAGTCCCCTTTTTTTAGTGCCTTTGTGACCTGAAACGGTCGCTAAATGAACTGTCGTAAGCTGAGGACCGCCTGGGCTCTCCACAGCCCTGTGTTTGCAGCAGAGTAGAGGGAAGGAGAATAAAGAGGGATGGGGGGGAACATTTGCACCAACTTACAGAGAAGTGCAACAAAGATGATTAGGGGACTGGAGGCTAAAACATATAAGGAAAGGCTGCTGGAATTGGGTGTGTCTAGTTTAACGAAGAGAAGGATGAGGGGGGACATGATAGCCGTCTTCCAGTATCTCAGGGGCTGCCCCAAATAAGAGGGAGTCAAGCTATTCTCCAAAGCCCCTGAAGGCAGGACAAGAAGCAACAGATGGAAACTCATCAAGGAGAGAAGCAACCTGGAACTAAGGAGAAACTTCCTGACAGTTAGAACAATTAACCAGTGGAACAACCTGCCTCCAGAAGCGGTGAATGCTCCAACACTGGAGGTTTTTAAGAAGAGACTGAACAGCCATTTGTCCGAAATAGTATAGGACAGCGATGGCGAACCTTTTAGAGACCGAGTGCCCAAACCAAAACCCACTTATTTATCGCAACGTGTCAGGGCCACATCAGCATTGTGGCACCCTCAGGGGGGGCATGGGGGTGTGGCCCACTGGGTGGCATGGCTGCGGTTGTCAGGGCAGACTGGTGGGCGTGGCTGGGGTGGGCATGGCCACCTCGATGTTGCTCATGGGGGGGACACCTGTGGGGGCCGGGCAGGGTTGGGGGAGATCCAGGGGACCTGTGCAAGCCGCTGGCAGCGGCGGCATGTGTGCCCACAGACAGGACTCTGAGTGCCACCTCTGGCACGCGTGCCGTAGGTTCGCCACCACTGGTATAGGGTTTCCTGCCTGAGCAGGGGGTTGGGCTAGATGACTTCAAAGGTCCCTTCCAACTTTACTACTACTATTATTATTATTATAACTGGGAGGCTGAATACTCACCGGATGATGGTGTGCATCCCCCTGACCTGGGGTGTGTTCTTCAGGACGCTGAGGGTCTTGGGGAGAGGGTGGCACTGGTGAGCAGAAGCCAGCGCTGCCCTGCAGGCAAAGGAGAAGTACGGGTCAGCTGGAAGAAAGATCTCCCCGGGGTCTCCTTTTTCCCCAGCCGAACTAACCACACAGGCTTCTCCTGGTCACCTTCCCTGGGTCATCCAAA